ATGGCTTTATGGAAATTAGGCTTTACAGTTTTAACTCTTAGTCCTCGAAATTCCGAACCTGCTTTAATTCATTTATTATTTGAAGCGGTTTTGGCATTTACAAAATTATCATAAAGCATTTCAATTTCATCTTTAAATTCTATTTCAACTTTCTTACGTTGAACATTATTTTTAAGGGTACGAGCTATTTTTTTTCCTTCAAGAGGTAAGATATAAACCATTTCATCAAAGATTCGTGAATGTGATGGACAGTCATTATTAGCTTGATGTACTGAATCAAAGATACTTTTAGTGACATCTAAGAAAGGAGTCAATTTGATATTTTCATAATCAAGTTCTATAAAAAGACAATTGAGTGGTCTATTAAATCCAATGACGACTACTTGTTTAACAAATTGATTAAGACGAATTGTATCTTCGATCGGTATTGGATTTGACTTTTCTCCAGTACTATGAACAATTGTATCATCTGCTCGACCAAGTAAAAGATAAAAGCCGGAACCTTTTGAAGTTTCAAGGAAGAGATCACCTGTTCTATAGCTACCATTCTCAGTATTTCCCTTAATGTTTGAAAGATTTGGAGTTCCTTTTTTTATAATTAATTCTTTCGCTCCATCAAGAAAATCATTCCTTTCTATCCATTCTATATAACTTTCTGGTATTACTAAGTTCATTGCATTCCATGGGATATTAGGTGAAGAAGAATTTTTAGAAGTATCCATAATAACACCTGTTTCAGTTGAACCATAAATGGATTGGACATTAACGCCGGATTGAATAAGCTTTTCACCTATTTGAGATGATAATGCAGCACCAGCATATTTGATAGAGCTTAATTTTAATAAAGTTTTAATTTCTTCAGGATGATTTTTATAAATTTGCTCAATAGTAGCGGGTAAAGTATAAAAAACATTAGACTTAGATTGATTTAAACTATGTAAAATTTCGTTTATTAAAGGAACCGATCCTGAGACGATTGGAAATACATATACAGAACCAGGATAGAAAATAGTATTTATTGAAACAACCATTCCAAAAATATGAAATAATGGAGGGGTTGCTAAGACAATATCATCAGCTTTATTTTGTTGCTCCAAAACCAAAAAATAACGATTAGTAAGAGGAACTAATTTAGGAAATGAGGTTGAACCGGAACTATGAAAAATGGCGATAACTTTTTCGTAAGGATCATCATCTAGTTTTATAACAGGAGCTGAATTATCAATGTTTTCATTCTTTAAATTGTTAGGAATTGGAAAAATTTTAAGCGCTTGCGAATGTTGAGAACCTAATTCACTTTGAACACTTTTAGAGATTTTTGAAAGTTGAGAATCATAGATGAGAATATGTGATTTAGCTTCTTGAAATAAATGAATTAAAGCAGGTTCGGAATTTCGAGGACTAAGAGTTAAAACTGTAAAGCCTAATTTCCATAAAGCCAT